ACTGCATCACAACGCAGTGCGTAAGTGAACAGATTCCACATGTGAGGTTGTCTTGTATATATTTTTGCCTTCTTTGATAAACATTATTAAACACGCAAGTTAGTGAGACGCACACTCGCACATGTTAAATGTCACCTGCATGTCATTGTCATTGCCCTTTAACCCCTGGTCTAAATCATATTATTGAAGCGCGGCCGTTTTGACTTTGGGCCGTTTTGACTTTGGGCCGTTTTGACCTAGCACCGTATTTGTGGGCAAATTGTCTAGACAATTTTATATACTAGATATCACAGCCATACCTTTTCCTCGCGTTAGATAAGTTGATAAGTCAATACGAAACTTCGAGCGCCGAGTTATCATACGGCACATTCAAGTGTATAAATTATGGATGATTCCAATTCATTACGAATATTGCTTACTCTTATTCTTTAAAATATTAAGAGGCAATTTTTTTTCAATGTCACGTATTTGCAATGAAAAGTGTTCAAAACCTAAAATCTTTTTGGCGTTCCTCTCAAAATTACTTTGCTTTAGCTTTATTGATTCTCTACAGTTTATAGAGTTAGCTACCTTTTCAAATGCGTCTGCCGGTTGAGAAACATAAAATAATATTATAAAATAATACAATTATCAATGATGCCTTAAAATTGACGCTATATTTACAGCCATTTAAGCACAACGTACTGGACTTCAGACATCATTTTCTCTTTGGCATATCATGTAAAATCTCTTCATTTTAGCATTATTTTACAGATAAAGCACTAAACATACATTTTAAGTTTTTTTATCGATTGAGAAACGTATCGAAGAATAAAAATTTTGATTTTAGTCATAATCTCATGTGATATATATTATACGCATTAGTTTTGAGCGTGTGTTACGTAACATACAAAAAATCTCATTTAAAGATTTGGGAACAATGCTATACCAAGGCAGCATTCACTACCCTGTGGGTAAACTAGTTATAATTTATAGACCTGTGTGATCGTTAATACAAGATAGCGATTATACTATGAATCCACGCCGCAGCCGACGCTGAATAATCCAAGCAAAGATTTCATTTACATATTAGCCGCGCAAATATGGAGGAAACGTCTCATTCATGTGAAATGAGGGGGGAAATTCTAAAAGTGTTTTGTGTTCCTGGAGGGCCAAATAGCTGAAATAGGAAGGCTAAAGAAGCCATGCACAAATAGTGGCGAGTCTGGCGACACACCAGCATTAGCATGCATTGTTTTCCGAAAGATTTCTGTCTGTTGCGAGAGCTATTTAATTCGAGAGCTATTTTATTCAAGAGCTCTAGAGCAATTTACAAGGTTTTGATAGCAGTTACACCGAAGGCTTCTTGACTCGAGGCTCAGTTCCAACGATTGACGTTGTTGAAACGTAGAAGATTTCATTGCCATAGCGATTGTACGAGAAGCAAAGAGACCGCCAACTTATGGTAAATAATATTTGGCATGCTCATAAAGGTCAATAGAAAGGGCATAGTTTCTACATACTCCACTAGGTGACTGGGGCATATTATTTAATCTTTCTGCACAACCAATATTTCATTCATATCATATGCAGGTGTTCTTTGTTTTAAAGGTTGGTGGGGGGATTGGTATTTGAGGGAGATGAGCAATGGAGTTTTTGGTACAATATGGTTAACAAATTGTCTATGTTTCATATAGAGTATGTCAAATGCGTAGCCATAGGAGAAATTATGTTTACTGCATGTTGATAGCACAACATTGGAAGAGATTGGCAAGCAATATCAGTCTTTGCAACCGAAATCCTTGACCTGTCAGTTTACAGAACGTTTAGCGAAGACAGAAGCGGTTGAGAAATATTTAAATTTATTTATATTTAAAATTATTCACAGGGTTAAAAGTTAGTATTAAAAGGGGAAATAGCCAGACTATGTAATGTACCAAAATGCAAGACCAGCCAAACCGTTGAACTTCACCATATAAAAGTCAGTGTATAAAACACAGTTTGAGTTTCATTACTGACATCATTATTGTGTTTGACAGTTTGAGTAGAGCAATGAAGTAACTTTAAGATGTTATAATCCACCCTTCTGGCTGGCCTTTGTATATGTTTTGAAGGCATATCGGAAACGTATCATTATAGTTGTGCGATATAAATAAACATAGCTCTATTACTGTATTATTAAACTATTAAAAACTATCCACATTTGTCATTTGGAAAGTGTTTTTGTCGAATATAAAACGTAAATATTGCAGTAATTCTATAACTTTGACAGCATGAAATGACCCACAATACTCTTTTGTAATGAGTTCCTGAACGTCATTTATAGCTTTGCCCTTTCGGTTTCTCAATAAAGGGCCGACTTGAGCCAGCACAGCCTCGTTCGTCATGGCCTTGTAGTCTTCGTACAATGTCAAACATGAAATTTTCTCCAGCGATGCTCCCGTCGAATGTTAGTTTCCGAAGCGCTTCAACAATTTCATGGCAACATCGGTATTCAAGCTAGTGCATCAACGAAATTTCGATCCGAGCACTTGCCACATTTACACCTATATCAAATTGAAGCAGCGAGTTGAATCGAGTGTTTTTGTCAAATTTAATTATTTAAAACGATTGAAGTTTAAATGTATCAAACTGAAAAAAGGCTACCTACCAAGAATCAACTTTATTCTTTCGGTCATATCTAGCCTGGCTTCCTTGGTCGTTTCTTCGCTTATATCGTCTCCCTGAGGATTTAATGGTTCACCTTCACACGGCATATAATGAGCGCTAAAAACATACTCACTTGAATCGCTTGAGTCCGAAATAGCAACAGAAATATCACTACAGTCGACGACATTGTGCTATATTGTTTGTATTGTGTTGACTCGTCTCAATTTCTCGTGCCCTGCTAATTACGTCACGCGTATTCGATTCGTTCCCAGTCCCCGGACCACTTTTTCAATATAAAAACGTTACAAAAGCTTACAAAAACTACTGTTTGCTCTTAAAATTTGACATTTTTATTATCAAATTCGAAATCTCCGTTGCCAAAAGTACCAAATACTGAAACTAAAAAATTTCATTTCATAGGCACTTTAAAAAGAAACATTTGCATTGATAAAAGAGACTCATTATAGCCACGATGATCTCTTGCTTAATAATCTTTGAAGAATATTAATTGCCCCGAGGAGGAATATATTAAAGTCCCCGCACGTAATATCATATTAATTTACGGTATATACCAGAAAAGTTAAAGTTTTTAAAGTTTTTTGCCCGCTAAGCATTGGTGTGTAATATCGCAAAACATTGGGTGTATATCGAAGTGGCCAAGCATAAATTGTTAAAGCTATCAAAAAGCAATTAGTTTAAATATTACAGTAAAAGGCCACAAGTTTAAAAGCTGAGGGTTCAAATATTATTATAAAAGGCAAGGGAATTATTGGCGTAGTGCCTTAGCTGCGCAAGTTCAAAAGGTGAGGGTTCAAAGGTTGCGTTGCATTCTGTAATATATAGGACTATAATCATTAATAGGCATTAAGTGACACAGGGGTGATTGGCAAGGTATTAGGACGTTAGTAATATGAGACAGGGACATTATAATTGTTATTGTGTGATATTCTAGCGTGTAAAAGAATAATAGAAAAGTCTGGTTTTGTATCGTTGTTGTCTGATTCGCTTATATTACATTTGGTGGCGTGACCAGGGTGGTAACAGCGACGCGTAGGAGTGTAGCACTTCCCGAGATCTTTTCAGACGGCGATATGGTTCTGTGGCTACGAAAATTTGAGCTTTGTGCGAAGGCGAACGATTGGAAAGATACGGATATGTTAAAAAGGCTGCCAACTCTGTTGTCTGGCAAAGCTTTTGCGATTTTCGAGCGTCTTGCGGCGGAGACAAAAGAAGATTTTAAACTACTAACGAAAGCGCTAACGGAGGCTTTTGGTGGTGATGAGAACGGCAAACATCTCGCGATGATGGCATTTCGCAGCCGAATGAAAAAGCCAGACGAAGACATCCAAGTATTCGCCTACAATTTAGAAGCGCTATTAAGACGCGCGATGCCAAACATCGAGAAGGGCGACAGAGAAACACTTTTCAAGCAACAATTTGTCGAAGGAGTATCTATAGAACTAAAGAGACAATTATTACAACAACCGACCCTCTCGTATACGAGGAGACAGTTTATACGGCGGGGCAAAAGCTAGATTTAGCGGGTCAGATTTCATCGAGTCAATTGGTTAACGAAGTGAATGCGAGCGGTGGCACGAATCAAACGCTAGTAGAGTCGCACTTGGTTACGCAATTGATGGAAAGTGTAGATATTTTTACGAGGAAGGTTAGTGAATTATCTCAATCTGTTGCTAACGTAACAGCGTCTGTGCGAGATTCCCCCACGGGGCGCCGGGGCCCTTGTTATCAATGTAGGACTGGAATGGGTCACATCGCCAGTGAATGTAGGAGTACGACCGGGAACGGGCGACGAATGAATTATCGACAGCGCCAAACTGAAAATTACTGCTTTGTTTGTGGACAGATGGGATATTTCGCGCGGGAATGCCAGTTTTGGTTCCAGTCTCCCATTAATAGCCAACCACGTCAGGGAAACGACCAGGGGCTGACCCGTTTCTAGGCCGGGGGTCAGCAGTTTATACTAATGATGAAAATGATTGGGTCAATTTTAAAACAGCTAAAAATCTAGTTAACTATAAAATTAGAGATAGTAAAAAGCAATATTATAATTCTTTGTTTCAACTCAACGTAGGTCGAACTAAAGAAACTTGGAATGGTATCAACAGTCTTCTTTCTAAATCTAAAAATTCAACTACTATACCAAAAATCTTGCAAGATGGAATCGAAATTACTGACCAAATTTAGCAGCGCAAATTCCAACAACTGGTGCGGCCTCTTATAATTAACATTCTACAATGTAATGAAGTTTTTGAATTACATGAAGTTACTCCATCTCAAATAGATGGACTAATTTATAAATTATCGACTTCTGAGGCTAGCGGTCTTGATAACATTCCTGTTCGTTTATTAAAACTAATTCATTTCACTACTGTGGTGTCACTTACTCACATTATTAATTCGCAAGGGAATTATTCCCGCTGACTGGAAGTGAGCCAGGGTATCAGCAATTTATAAACATGATTCAAAACTAGATTTGAATAATTATAGGCCTATTTCAGTCCTTCCAGTAGTTTCAAAAATTTTTGAAAAAGTTGTCTTTGACCAAGCATATGCCTTTTTAAACAAACACAACCTTTTATCTGACATACAGCTTTCATAACAAGCTGTTTTCCATATGAGTGGAAAGCTGCTAGACTTCTACCACTTCATAAAAAGGGTCCACGAGATCTCCCAGAAAACTATAGGCCAATCTCAATCTTACCTGCAATAAGTAAAGTTATGGAAAGAATTATGTATGATCAGATCTACGAATACCTTAACGATAATTCGATCCTTTCTGAACACCAATTTGGTTTCCGCAAATCTCATTCAACTGCTTCGGCTCTTTTGGATTGCACGAACAGTTGGTACGTTAATATGGACCGCAAAATGTTTAATGTGGTTGTATTATTGGATTTAAAAAAGGCCTTTGATACTGTAAACCATGATATTTTGGTGCGAAAACTTGAGCTATACGGTATCAATGACAGTGCCTTAACCATGATACAATCATACTTGTCTGATCGCAAACAGAAATGCCAACTGGGAGACGTAATGTCATCTGAGCGGCATGTGACATGCGGTATTCCACAGGGATCCATCCTTGGTCCACTTCTCTTCCTCTTATATATAAATGATCTTCCAGAATGTCTTCATGAAGCTGCCCCTCGGCTATTTGCCGATGATACCAATCTTACGGTAGCTGGTGAGTCAATAGAGGAAGTTGAGTTGGCCATGAATAATGATCTCCTTAGTGTACATACCTGGCTTTCAGCCAACAGAGTCTCAATGCTTCAAAAACCGAATTTATACTTATTGGTTCAAATCATAGATTAACGAACCTTACTAATCAACCAAATATAAAAATAGATCAAGACAAAATTAAGCAAGTTCATCATAGTAGATTACTTGGGGTTCAAATTGATGAAAAATTGTCTTGGAACAAGCATGTTGAAAGCGTGGCCAAGAAGGTTACTTCCGGTGTAGGAGCTTTAAGAAGAATACGTGACTTTGTCGATAGGGAAACCTTAATCTCTATCTACAATGCGTTAGTTCGCCCTCATTTCGATTATTGCAGTGAGGTGCGGGATACCTTGGGCATTGGCCTTTCAACTCGACTTCAAAAACTGCAGAATAGAGTGGCGAGAATAGTAATGAGTATGACAAATGATACCCCTGGATTAGAAGCAATTACTGCCTTAGGGTGGGAAACTCTTGAGTCTCAACGAGCTAAGTCTAAAGCAGTACAAATGTACAAAGTTTTAAATGATTTGTCCCCAAATGCACTTGTTAATCTTTTTATGCGTAAAAGTGATGTCACAGATTACGAGCTTAGGGGTTCCTCTACATCACTGCAAATCCCTTTTCCCAGGACTGAAAATATTAAGAAAAGTTTTTCTTACGATGGGGCGAAATTGTGGAATTCCTTACCTGAAGATTTGCGTGATTCGGCTACCTTGCCAATATTTAAAAGTCGAATTAGTGCTCACAATTTCTTATAATATAATGTAAATATAATTATTATGGTATAATATTAGGTTGACTATTGTAAATATGTTCATTTTTAATGTTTGTTACTATTTATAATGTAATTGACACGCCCCTCGTGGAAATCAGCGAAAGTTGACGAGGCTAGCGTGTGATTTTTAAATAAAGTTTATCATCATCATCATCATCATCGCAGTCAGGATTTAGACCTCTTCACTCAAAGTTAACAGCTTTGCTTGATGTCACTGATAAATGGTACACTAACATGGACAGTGGATTAATAAATGCTGTCTTATTCATAGATTTAAAAAAGGCTTTTGATACCATTGATCATAACATTTTACTACAGAAGTTAACTTGTTACGGTTTCAACAAAGAAACGATTGATCTTTTTAGAAACTATCTTTCTAATCGTACTCAAACAACAGTTATTAACAACATACGATCTGATACTCGTAAAGTAACATGTGCAGTTCCTCAGGGGTCTATCTTAGGTCCACTACTGTTTTTAATATATATATAAACGACCTACCTAATAGAGAATTGGTATCAGATGGGCGTTTATTCGCTGATGATACCAACTTGACTTTTGCGGACAGCAACCCTTGACAAATTGATTTCTGTTCTAAATGACGACCTTAAAACTCTCCAAAACTGGCTTAACCTGAATAAACTACCGTATTTACTCGATTGAGCGCCGCCCTCCATTGAGCGCCGCCGTCAAAATGGAGACATTTAGTGACGAAAACATTTAATACTTGTTTATTTCATTGTTAAAAGTTCTTGTTATAATTCACAAATATATATTTTTTTTTAAAGAACGCCGCCCTCGATTTAGCGCCGCCCCCGAATGAGCGCCGCATCTGAAGCTCTGAAAATTTAAAGAGCGCCGCGGCGCTCAAACGAGTAAATACGGTAAGCCTGAATGCGATTAAAACTAAATGTATGTTTATGGCATCCAGGCAAAAATTAAGTACTATTCCTGAAGAACCTAATATTGCTATCTCCGGAAACAAAATTGAAAGAGTTAGATCTTATAAGTGATTAGGTTTAAAACTGGACGAGAGTTTGACATGGGAGCATCATGTTTCTACTATAATCTCCAAAGTCTCCAAGGTGATTGGAGTTCTACGAAGACTAAAACCATTGCTCCCACAGTCAACTCTTGTCATGATCTATAACTCTTT